ATATATATATAGAAACATGGCTTCGTGAATTTTTCTTTCTTTCTTTCTTTCTTAAATAAAATTATTTATTTATTTATTTATTAAATCACGTGAAAATTATTAAAAAGTTAATAATATTAATAATAATAATAATAAATATAAATTAAAAACTTAGAAGAAAAAAAAATTAATAAGAAATAATTCAAATTCAAAAATTTTCTCTTTTTTTTTTTAGTTTAAATTAAACGGTTTTTTTTTTGCAATTTATTAAAATTAATTAATAAAATTTTATTAACTTTTTTTTTTGTTACAAGGTATGTATTTTTAATAATTTATTTATTTAAAAATAATTAATAAGGAAATAAGGGATTTTAAAAATTTTATTAAACTGAAAAAACCAAAAAACAAAAAAACAAAAAATTTCTTTTTTTTTAATGAACAATAATAATAATAATAAAATTAATTTAATAATAATAATAATAATAATAATAATAATAATAATAATAATAATTTTTTTGTTGTTGTTGTTTAAAGTAACTAATTTTTGTTTTTAGGATGTTTTTTGCGTTGGTTTCGGATTAATATAAGTTTTGTAATAGAAATCACCGAAAAGTTTAAGTATTAATATTAATTGTGGGTAAATAAGAAACAATGGAAAATATGGATAACCACAATTTGATGCTAATAATCCTCTTGTTGCTTGTATTATAAGTATAACAAACTGAGCCTGAAAAATAATAATAATTATAAGAGAGTTAAAAAAGACAAAAAATTAAATTATTATTATTGTTATTAATACTACTCACTATTTGTAATTGTGTTATGTGTTTTTTCCACCAAACGTTATTCTTATATTTACTACTATAATTACTTAAAAAATAATAAAAATACATAAAACAATGTACCAAACTATTTAATGGTATTATAATGAAACCGTGTCCATCTGCCAATTAAAAAAAAAAAAAAGGTTTATAAATTGTTGAAAAGGTTAAAAGGTTTATATAGTTGTTGTTTGCCATTGATTAAATTTTTTTTTTTTAAATTTACCTGGATAAAATGTTGAACCCATGTAGCCGAGTATTAATATTCCCATGTGATGATAAAGATGAAGGAAAGAAACTTGATTGAATTTTTTTCTCATGACAAAAAATATCTTTTGATGTTGAATTGAAAACAAACGGAAATTAATTTTAAGTATTCGACATAAAATAATAATAATAATAATAATTACCGTATCGAACAAATCTAAAACTTTAATCATGTAATATATCCACGTTAATAAAGCTATTCGACGAGCTAAGGGTGATAATGATAGATCCATGGGTTGACAATGTAAATTATAATGGCCGTTTGGACCATAAGTTAATCTAAATCCCTAAAAAAAAAAAAATTTTTATTTTATTGTATGTTGAAAAGTTGAAAAAAAAAAGATGGTAGTAAAATAAGGTACCTCGAATGCTAGCCATCCGCATATAATAACTTGTGCTAAATTATATATTTGTACAATTTTATCTATTTTAAAAGGTTGTCTACTTTTCATAATTGCTGGACCTATTTTTGTTATCAATCTGTGATAGCCAAACATAATGAGTAACATAGGTACGGGTGAACCGACCAAAAACCATCCTCTTGTTCTTTCATCTAAAAAAAAAACGACGACAAGAATTAAAGGAAAAAAATTTATTAACATTATTATTATTATTATTAATGAGTAATTTATCATGCCTGTTAAATCATGAAATACGTGATGCCAAGCATTGTACACAGTTGTGAAAATGGCTGTCATGGCTGTGTAAACGTATGCCTGAAAAATAATTAAATTATTTCATTTTTATAAATTTTAAATTTGATTCGATTCGGTGGAAATTTAAAAAAAAAAAAAAATTCAATTTTAAATTTGTATACATGATTGAAATTTTTTTTTTTTTTTTTACTTAATGGCGAACGCGTAAAAATATATGTATATCCTACGTACCTGAACCTTTGATAAAATAAATAAATAATAGGGGAAAAAAAAAATATAATAATCACTTTAAATATGGCGAAACTTTTTTACAAACGAACTTGACCGCACACAAATTCACAATATTCAAATTAAATAAAGATTTTTTAATTTTTGCCTTGTTATTTTATAATTTATTCATTATTTATTAATTAATTATGAGTGGAAAAAAGAAAAGAGGGAAAATCTTCTTTTAAATTTTAAATATCTTCTTTACATGATGAACGTTATATATATCATAACGGTTAAAATCGTATAGATATTAATTAAATATTATATCCGGTTAATCAATTACACGATTTCTATAAACGGTTTTATAATTGATAATTTAAATAGAAAAAAAATGGGGAAAATTAAATTTCAATTGAAACAATTAAAAAAACGTTTTTTTTTTTTTTACCTCATGAATATATTCATTTTAATTGAAATTTTATTTATTACTTTTACAACGCAGTTATTAAATGTAGATTTGGTTCAAGGTTTGTGCTGTTGTATAAAAAAAAAAAAAAATTAAAATTTATTATTATGGTTACACACACGTTGCAACCCCCTCTCCTCCCCCCCAAAAAAAATATTTTTTTCATAAAAGCATTGTAGCATCTTTTTCTTATTTTTTTTTTTTTAACTTATTTATTTCCAATAAGTTGATTTATATCAATTTATTTAATAATAATATAAATATAAATTGAATTATTATAAAAATATAATATCAATATATTAAAATGTTTAATAATAATATATATATAAATTTATTTTAAATAATAACAAATAAATAAAAATTACAATTTTTTTTTTTAAAATAAATTTTCACGTTTCGTTATACCCATTTAAAAATTTTGTACAATTATATTTAAAATAATTTACAATTAATATTTACATTAATGATAATAATAATAATAATAATATTAAAAAAGATTGGATATAAAAAATAAGTTAAGTTGGTTTTTTTTTTTTTTTTGTTGACAAAAGGAACTATAACTATACAGAATAATAATTAAAATTTCTTTTTGATTTGAGATAAATTGAAATTGAAATTAAAATTTAAAAAAAAAAAATTGATAATTAAATAAATTTAAATAAAATAAAATAGAATAGCTTAAATAAATCTATGTAACTTTCATATTCTTTTTTAAAATTCACTTTGAATAAATAATATGTAGTGAGTACTTTTCTACTTGAGTACTTAAACACTTTTATAAACAATTATAAATAATAAAATTGTTAAAGTCTTGAAAGGGTTTCACAAAAATTATGTGAAAAAATACACATAATTATTAATTTTTTTTTTTTTTTAAATAAGTCTTTTTGGTATTTCTTATTAACATACAAAACGTTTTTCATTTTGTTTTCTTTATGTATGAATTTACGTAGAATGCCATAAATAACATCATTATAAATATTGTATTTACACCAAGGAGAGCAATCATGGTTTTTGGATAATTGCAATCATAAACAAACAATAATGAAGAATGAATAATAATAATAACAAATTGAACCTGAAAATGAAAACAGCAAAAAAATTGAAATTATTTTTATTTTATTAATTCTATTTCATTTAAAAAAAAAAAAAAAAAAAAAATTTTGACTAACTATTTGCA